CGTACTACTAACTTACACACTACTACAACACATAGTTATTATAGTAGTACGTCTACGTAGAGATACGTAGTATATATATATATATATATATATATATATATATATATATATATAGTAAAAGATATGCATGAGGGATCGCTAACTAGTGTGTAGACAACTAGGAGAGAGATAAGTGAGTTCTCAATGACAATGGGACTACATCGGGGGTCAGCGCTGATCCCATATGTATTTGTTTTGGTTATGGACGAGTCAATCAGGCACCTACAAGATGAGATACCGTGGTACATGTTGTTCGTGGATGACATAGTTTTGATCAATGAGACTAGTTTTGATCAATGAGACTAAAGGCGGCATCAACACAAAGTTAGAACATTGGAGGGATGCTCTAGAATCTAAAGGCTTTAAAATTTACCGAACTAAGACAATATATGAAATACAAGTTTAGTAATAATAGGAGTAGAAGCGTGAAAGTGGCTAAGTTGATGATCAAGAAATTCCTAAATGAGATTGTTTCCAATATCCAGGAGGAAGATGTTGCACATAAAAATAGAGTTGGTGAGTGAAATGGAGATGAACATCATAAGTTTTATGTGATCGCCGCATATCATTGAGATCGAAGGGGAAGTTCTATAGGATGGTTGTAAGACCAGCCATGCTTTATTACACGGAATGTTGGGCAGTCAAGAAACAATAGATCTATAAGATGAGTGTAGATGAGGATGTTGAGATGGATGAGTGACACGACAACAAAAGATAGATTTCAGAATAAATACATACAAAGGTACTTCGGTGTGGCTTTAATAGGCGACAAGTTCAAGAAAAGTAGACTTAGTTGGGCTGGCCATGTGCAGCATAGACCTAATACAACACCGGTTAGGAGGTGCGATTTGGTTCGAGTGGAAGGCTCTAAAAGGGAAGGGGGAAGGCTCCAAAGGACATGGATAGAAGTAGTGAAGAAAGATATGGTGACTTTTGGTCTTACCGAGGGTATACCCTTGATAGAAAAGAATGAAGGAACAAGATTCATATAGCCGACTCCAAATAATTAAGATAAGACTTGGATGATGTTGATGATGATGATATATAACCCCGTAATTTTGTAAGAATTTTTTAAATGAAGGCATGCCTTACAAAATTATGATTATGCTTTCTGAATTTGTATATTTTATGGCTGCTTTTATGTGTATAAGGGGTGCTACTTTTTTTGGGGGGGGTCAGGAGGGGATGGATTTGCTGCGCTTCAATTTAGGGCCTGAAGCCGAAGACTTAGTAAAGTCAAAATTGGATTTTAAAAGGAGACAGTTTTCATAAAAGAAGCAAGTACGGAACTTCAACCCCATGAACCATGACGGCTTTGATGTACAATCAAACCCAACTTCCTTATTCCTTTCATTTGGTAGGTTAATCATGGAATTCAAACGAGATATCCAAGAGTCAAACTAAGTTCCAATCCCTAAGCTTTGACGTAGAGCACCAAAAGCATCAAATATTTCAGAAAGAAATTATCACATCATATAGCTTATCAAAAAAAAAAAAACATTGCATCACATAATACCAATAATCAACAAAAATTTCATCCCCACAAGGTGGCATCCTCAAATGTCTAAAACTTACAGAATAATGAACAAATCCATTGTTTGTTCTTTGCTAAGATATCCTTAATATTACACATATTATCAAGTTCAGGACATTTCATGTTCGAAATATGATAAATGCAAACAAAATACGTTGAGAAAGGATAAGCGGATAACCCATCCATCCATGCATGTCATCTGAATGACAACTATTAAAAATGGATAGTGGATGCTCCACCAGTGCATGGTGCACCATACACAAGATGGATACTTTTGCCAAAGGATACTTGTAAATGGATGAAAACTCCTCTAAGTGTGGAGAAAGAGTGCCACAGTTCGTCACAAGTGAAGATCACATACATGAATATAAAAGAAAACTACATTAAACAAGCATTTGCAGCATTAATTTCCATATCGAGGTGCCAATTTATTTATTGATAAAAGATGAAAAAGAAATTTTCTCATGAGATCTATTGTCCCTAACCAGATTAAGTTAATTCAATCATATACCAAAATAAACTAATCAACTCGTGATTAAGCCAAATCTTGACCAGTGACAAAAGATAACCAGAGGATCTGAATATGTATTTCTGATATTCAAAATAGAAAACCCATGGTCGAATAAGTTATGATCAAAACCAAGGCCCTTGCCTTGCACTTGAAGAGTTATTCAAAATGTCTATCCACTTCATATAGCTTCTCCATCTTTATTAATTGACAACACAAAATTAGAATTTCATTCGTACGGGCATACTTCAACTACGAAGAGGTGATCAATATCCAACATAGCAATATCCTAACGAGTGTGATGTTTTTGAAGTAAAACCAATCAATTTTGCAATGGATTTCAAATAAAACAAAGGGTAATAGGATTTCAGATTCACTTATCAGTTTGTTAATAAGAACACAAACCCCCATGCTTTAAATGGTGATACCTCTTCTATCCTTCCCTCTCACCAGTTTTCATCCACACCAAAGTGGGGAGTTTCCAATAACAATAGCCATACGCATTCTTATAAAAAACATTTATCTCATGCTGAAAAAGAAAGTTTGTTCGAAATTATGTAAATATAATACCGGTGTAATGCTAATGATGTAAGCATAATTTTCAGGAATAATGACCATGATAAGCTACAAAATGTATTTACTTCTTTTTTTTTGAAGTAGCAACTTAGCTATTGATTGCCCCTCCATTAACAGCAAACATTTTTGCTTACCTTGGAAATGTTAGCCAGTTAATGGAGGTACAAAAAGCATTATGATCGAAGGACAGGTAATCCATGTCTAAGCAGCCCTGTAAACATTTTCTATGGAATCAAGAAAAGTAAAACTTTTAAAGTAAAACCCACCTGGAGTTCCCCGTAGACCCTAAAAAATCCAGGAAAACAATAACAGTATTGAAAAAAAAAAAAAAAGTTTCGAGCAGAAGCATATCATCGTAATATCCATGTGTGTGTGTGTGTGTGTGTGTGTGTGTGTGTGTGAGAGAGAGAGAGAGAGAGAGAGAGAGAGACTACTACCTTACTTTCTCGTGGTCGTGTAGAGGTAGTAGTGTGTCTAGTATATCTAGTATATACTCGTCTCTCGAGTGAGACGTACTA